TCAGAAATAAGTATGTCCAATTAAATAAAGACGATGATGCGTATATCAGAAAATATATATCAGAAAATACTATATTCCATATATTTAAAAATATATTTTATAATATTTAAAGTTAATGAATCATACCACCTAAAAACAATAAAATCAATAGGCTCCAAAAAAAATTCTAAAAAATAATAAATAAAATGCCAATTAAAGCTGACACTGGTTATTAGTGTATATTTTAATACCATCTATTCAAAGTAAATATTAAACGTATACGTTTCGACCTACGGTCAAGTTCCTCTTCAGTACAAAAGATATATTAACAAAATTACATAATAGTAGCGCATACGAGTATAAATTAATAACATAAAAAGTTAGTATATAGTAATAACATAAAAAGAGAGAGAAAAAACGTGGTAGTGATGTCCGAGTTAATCTTGGTCATTAAATTACTAAGTTAACTAGAAAGAAAAAATAAATTTTTTGTTTTAAAAAAACGACCGACCAAAGAGGTTAAAAAAAATTAAAAATGCTAACATGAGATTATACACAAAAATTGGTAAAAAACTTACATGACTATCAAGATTGAATGTTTTTATAAGATTTGCACATGTTCCATTAAACTGTTCGATTTACTGTGTAGTACAAATGTGAATAAATTAAAAAGTTAAGTAACAAATCAAAGGACTCTTTCTATACAAATGATAATAAGTAACGGGCAAAGTAAGAGTCAACACGTTTCTTTGAAATTAACAAAAGAATATATTTCAATTAACAGAGGTAATTTTACCTCTGTTAATTGAAATATATTCTTTTGTTAATTTCAAAGAAACGTGTTGACTCTTACTTTGCCCGTTACTTATTATCATTTGTTTTAAAAAGTTAATATAAATAACAGTAAAAATCTAATTTTAGTTCACTTACATGAAACAAAATTTTTAAGAGATTAGACACAACCTAACTGTTTGGTAGACAGATGTAAAATGAAAAGTAAGAGAAACAATGGACAACAGAACATGTACTTACAAAGACAATAAATAAAAATAATAAATAATAAATAAAAAAGTATGAACAGTATAGATTGGAAGCATCACGTCTCTGAAAATAAATCAATATATAACGAATCAAAAGAAAGTATATCGTTTTGTAAATTCAGGCCTTGTTTTTGTTTTTTAATATGTATCATCTCTGATAATAATCCTTTATGTAGAATTTGCTCTTTGTCTAAAATATGTACGTTGTCCCAATTAAAATCACGAAATAAGTCTATCCGATGTTGTGTGATAATCGAATGTTGAGTCGTGTTTCTATTAATATGATTTCTGTGTTCTTTTATGTCCGTTTTTAAGCATCTGCTTGTCTGTCCAACATACGATGCATCACAATCTTTACAGTCAATCTTATATACTATTATACATTAGATTGAGAAGATGGAGGTAGCACATCTTTCTGAACTTTAATAAATCTATTGAGCTTATTTATGCCTCTATAAATCATACATAAAAATGATACATTTTTAAAGAGCATACTGATTTTTGTGAAAATATTAGGAATAAATGGTATACAGAAAAATTTTTTATTATTGATATCTTCTTTGGTTGCCAATTGTTTATCAATAATAAAATCATCAGCACTATTAAAGGGATTAAATTTCTTGTAAAGATGAAAAAATTTATTTTTTTGGTAGTTGAAAATATCAAACTTAAAGGATTACCATTATTCAGAAGGATTTTTATAACTAAATCAAAATTCTTTTTATGAAAACTCGGATGAGAAAGTAATATAACTCTATCAATCAAACCAATAATCGTGCCAATTTTTTGACAGAGAGAATGCCATAAAAAAAAATTAAGAAAACAACCCGAAAATGTAAGTTTACGATACCAATCAAAGATAAGAGTCTCCTCTTTTTTTATCAAGCAAATGTCCAAGAAATTTAATGAGTTTCCATCAATTTCTATTATGAATTGTAGTCGTGGATGGTAAGAATTGAATTTAGTAAAGATCAATATGAGCATTGTCAATAGCTAAAGCAATATTATCAACATATCTTACATAAAACAGTGATGTCACAAAAAGTTTATTTAACAAAAATAACTGTAAGTCCTCCATTACTAAATCCGCAAGTATAGAAGATAGTGGAGAGTTGGGTAAACCGAAAGTTTGTCTGTAAAATTTATGTCATTTTTTGTCATTAAACATAAAAAAAGTGGAATTCATAATTAATTTTAAAAAATTTCGTTTTTGAGATGTCAGTATTTTTTTCTATAAGGTATTATCTATTGGATATTTCATCCAGAACTAGATCTATCAGTGCGTTAGTAAAAAGTGATATTACGTCCAAAGATAAAAGAGAGGAATTGTCAAATTTGAAATTTTTTTAGTCAAAAAATAGCTATTAACTGTAGAACTCTTAGCTGGAGGTAAACTCTTATTGATGATCTTATGTAGGAAAGATGAGATAAGAAATTATGGAGTAGACTTCCAATCGATGATACTATAATCCTCAATGGACGAATTTTGTGGATCTTAGGTAACCCATAAGCTAGTGATAAATTTCATGTAAATGAACTAAAATTGTTTTACTATTATTTATATTAACTTTTTAATTTATCCACATTTGTACTACACAGTAAATGGAACAGTTTAATGGAACATGTGAAACAAACCTTATAAAAAGTTCAATCTTGATAGTCATGTAAATTTTTTATCAATTTTTGTGTAATCTCATATTAGCATTTTTAATTTTCTTTAACCTCTTTGGTCGGTCGTTTTTTTAAAACAAAAAATATTTTTTCTTTCTAGTTAACTTAGTAATTTAATAACCAAGATTAACTCAGACATCACCACCATTTTTTTTCTCGCTTTTTATTCTCGGTTATTAGTTTATACTCATATGTGCTACCATTATGTAATTTTGTTAATATATCTTTTGTACTGAAGAGGACCTTGGCCATAGGTCGAAACGTATACGTTTAATATTTATTTTGAATAAATGGTATTAAAATACACACTAATAACCAGTGTTGGCTCTAATTGGCATTTTATTTATTATTTTATAGAATACCATCTAAAGTTCGCGCATTTAGGTATAGTACAATGTGGTATAATATGTACTAAAGACGAAAGCTAATGATATCTCCATCCATGGCGTTAAATGATTTTAAATCCACACCAGAAGTGTGTCAAATCTACATCAACATTTTTTAGAGTGTAGGTAATTATTCAAGATAATGTATTTCATCAAAATAATCATAAATGAGATGATCCAAAAAACATTGTAAAGCTTAAAGTTTTTTTTCAGACCGATGTTTTAGACTGACAATCTAACTGATTTTTTATGAAGCTACGCGGATATAAATGAAGATCGATCAAATCTCAGAATTCGTTTACAAAACAAAAGTTTCATGACATAAAAATCATATAAAAGCGTTTTAAAATTTATTTTCAAAGAAGTCTTTATATTTATTTTTTTTTCAATATTGGAAAGTGGCTCAATGTTAAGAAGGTTAAGTAAAAAGGAGCATACAGCCACGCTACAGATGTCAAAAAGTTATAATTCAATAATAAACATTTTACATAGTAGACGTTTCGGTCACGATTTGACCATCCTCAGTACAAAAATAAAAATAAAATAATAACCTTAAACTATTTAAATCTAATTATTAAAATCTTATTCTTAATGTTAGTAATATCTCGCTTCTTCTTATGCGTTATTCGCATTGATGTCCGCATTTAACAATATAATGTTTTTGATACAATCAATTAACATAATTTTGAACGAATTAACGTTAGAATGTACAGAATTCCTCTTTTTTCTATCGTGTGGAATCATTTCCGATTGTAATTATTATCAGGCTGTCTCAAGTTCCAAAAAGGACGACGAACCGCCGCAGAGAGACACGTAAGTGGTAGTTTCTATTGTGAAGCAAATATTTTTTGAAAAAACCGTTTCCCGTCATTTTATTTTCCTATTCTAACTATTTAGATCAAATGAATTTGTGATAGACAAAGTATACACTTACACGTATCCCGCGCACGGAACCCTCCTGCATGCCGGACACTTGACAATTTTGATCACTTGAGACTTCGCGATAGTAATG